AAGGAAAACTGCCCTCTTCTCACGAGAAGAGAGCTTGAGCAGCACATAGAGATATGACTCTGCAGGAGAATGTAGAGTAGTCCCTTGTTGGAGAATATGGAGATTCCCTGCTCCCAATTTCAACCGAACGAGGAGGGAACTGTGGCTCCTTAAGAGGCTGGGTGCTTTTGCTTTCAGTTTTATTTTTGCTGGAGACATTCAAAAGAAATGCATTCAAAATATAAGCTTCATGACCCGACAGGCATGCAGGTAATAAAGCAACCCAAGTCTGACGGTATAAGTCAGTGATTCCCGTGTACGTAATACAATTTATTTTGGGTTTGTATGCATTGTTACGTAGGAATAATAGTGAACAAGTGCCTAGTTGAAATTTGTTAACATAAATTGCAAGGCTATAGTCTGGTCATGCTGACTGATGAAATTTTTGACTGGTGAGACATTCTAAAATTTTTCACGCCCTGTGGACCGTTGTACACGGAAAAAAATGAAACATCCCCTGAAAATAAGCCCTAATGCGTTTTTTGGAACAAAAATATAAGGCCCTGTCTTATTTTCAGGGAAACACAGCAAATATTGTTTAACACGATACTGGAATGCTCTTAGCACTTATATTGCATTATTTTCTCTTCTTTATATTAGTGACTGACAAACTCTGGGTGCCTGGGAACCATTTTTCCAACCATAGGATCTTGTAAGAGCTGCACTAGCCCTATGAAAACAGAAGTGACTGTAACTTCATTTCTAATTTTTTAAAAAAAAAATACCTATGATGATGATTACGCTACAACACAGTGTAGTGAGCACACCTCATCCTGTGGACTGTACAATTCACATTCCTGTTCATATATATCTAAACAGGTTTAGACACCTGCCACTGATGAATATCCATGGCATTTTTCAGGCAGTTTTATACATTTAACATTTAGACATTTAATGTTCACATTCTACTTTCCATGGTAAAACTAAGGACTCAGTCTCCCATCCATGCTCTGACTAGGCACAAACCCCCTTGGTTTCAGCCAGGTTGCTGTACCATGTACCATCTGTTCAGACCTAACAAGTCCATGTCTTATGAGAGAAAAGTATTCACTAGGTACGAGGTTAAGAGAAATCACTGCTTTTGAAAATAAAGAAGATAAGGCATATAAATACTCACTTGGCACAGCGCACCCAGTGTGTGTGCTGGGATAAGGTAAACAAAAGGCGTTGGCTATGAACGCTCCACACTTTTACTGTTTTGTCATTGGATGCAGTAGCTAGAAACTGGTTGTCCTGTGAAAAGTTTACACTGCAAACTGGTGCAATATGGCCTTTCAAAGACACAGATTCTCCATATCTGTAAGTTAAAAAAGACGCCCATCTACAATGCTGAATTTAATCAAGAGAAAATAGCAGTTAACCCCCCTGTCCTCAACTCATTTACATGTAGTTTGTACTGGCAAAGGGAAAGCCTTGACAGCTCCTCTATCACAGTGGACATCTGTGCAAAACCTGAGATATTTTACATTAAGCATACAGTACTTATTTTGAATAGTTTGCACAAACTTCCTCAAGCAAGTGTCTGCTACGGTTTAACTCCATGCCACTTCTGGAAGTCAGCATCCTCTACTCCTCTTGTTTTTAATGGAACATCCTATCTGAAGGTTGTGCATAGCTGGAAAGCTTGCTGATCACATTGTAAACTTTGTCCAGGCACAGGTAGAGATCTGGAGAGCTGTTCGCCCCGTCTTTTTCCACTTCATCTTCCCATGTCGCCTCTTCAGATTACTTTTCAAATGTGGTTTACAAACCACTTTATTCCGTATTTACACAGAAATGTTTTACATTGAGAATTCCAGTATTTTAATACTAATATATGTTTAATTTGTTTTTTAATTAATAATTTATTGTGTTTTTAATTAGCTTGGTTTTAAATAATTTTTGGGCCACCTTTGGTCCCGTAATTGGGAAAAAGGCAGCATAGAGAATAAATGAATGAACCAATCAAACAATCAATCAATCAATCAATCAATGACATGTAGTTTGCTATGTCTGTTCAGTTCAGATAAATTCTGCAAAAGATCAGAGGTAAGAATTATTTTCATTAACAACTCTTTTACTGGAGGAGACGTGTCCTAAATTTAAGATACTTTTAACACTGGCACAGCTTGAAAAAAAATCAACCAATTAAATACCTTTATTTTTCAACCATACTTACATACAAGGAATCCATAATCTAGCTGTTCTATCTTGAGAAGCACTTGCAAGCAAGTGTCCATCTGGTGAAAACTGTACACAAGTTACACCTTCTAAGTGACCCACAAATCTAAAAGCTTTGGAGTTTGATCTCAAATTCCATATCATGAGAAACCGGTCCAAAGAAGATGTAGCTGGCAAAAAAATAATTATAAAGATGTAAAAAAAGGCAAAAGTAATATTAAATCCATCGTTCTTGTTAAGACAGAGCACTTTTTAATTTCAATATGAATATCAAATATTTCAGTCACTTTCACTACCAAACACAACGGAAGAGTGAAGATATAGACTCAGTTCAGAACTGCCATCATTTCAAGATCCAGGGCAATAATTTCATAGGCATTCAACAATATAAGTCACTAGGTTACCTACTTTGTGTTTGAACAAAGAATCCAAAATGGCACACAGATAGGATTACTACCACCGTTCACATGTTTTCTGTATCTAACAATGACTCTGTCATGGAAATGGAACACTTAAGGTGGCTGTGAAGGAGTGTGCGAGAGTGAGCCACCTAATGGAACACTTAAGGTGGCTGTGAAGGAGAAGTGTGCGAGAGTGAGCCATCCATGGTGATAGAGGCTATAGAAGGAGGAGAGGATAAGGGAAGTAAGGAAGAGATGTGTGAGAGTGAGCCATCCATGGTGATAGAGGCTATAGAAGGAGGAGAGGATAAGGGGAGTGAGGAAGAGATAGTTACAGAGGAGGCGGGGGAAGTTGAATTGAAGAAGGCGGGAAAGGTGGAGATTTGTTTAGTAGAAGAGGACGCAAGAGGAAAAAAGGCGGAGCAAGAAGTGAGTGTGGGAGGAGGATATTAGTGAGGAAGGGGTGCGTTGGTTCGGTTCAGTGCTAGAGGAGTATGAGAGAAAGAGGAAGGAGGAATGGAAGAGGGAGGTTGAATATGTAAAGACTCAAGGACTGCTGAGGGATTTTCCCAATCTGAAGTTGGGAGGATTGTTACCAGAGCTAAAGCTGAAGGGAGACAAGCCGGCCCAGTTCCTGACCCAAGAATGGACCATGATCATGGCACCGCGTGAGTCAGAGCTGCAAAGAGAGACTGAGATAGCCCACAACCGTTTCTATGACAGACCAGCGAGGTTGGGTGAGGAACTCATGTTGTGGGATGATTTGCCCCCTGAGAAGTACTCTTCCCCGAAAACCGATGTACAGGGAATGGCATAGGCAAACCCTCCATTGAGTCTGTAGGAATATGGGAAAAGTTTTGGTTCATCTAGTTATGGCCTGTTGCCAGAGTTGAGAGTCTTTGACCCTATGAGTAATGTGCTGGAGGAGGTTGGTGATAATAAAAGTGACAGTTTAAAGATTATTAAGACGTCTCCAGTTTTATTTCCTGCCGAAAATGAGGAGTTGCCCAAAGAGAACTCTGAACCCAATCACAGTGGCTCAGATTAATATTTTAAAAGTATTAAGAGTCTTGAATGTTTAGTCTCGTGGAATTGCACTGAAACACCAATGTAGATGGTCTGCAGAACATTGAAATCAATAAAGTTAAAAGAAAAAAGAAAAAAAAGGTAGGAACTCTGTATACATTTACTTGGGAGTAAGAAATAAAAACGTGTCCTCATTGGGAAACATATCTATTTGGAAAACATATTTCGCTTTTACCAAAAATAATTTCCAAGTTCAAAGAGTTGAAACATCAAACATATCATTAGGGCCATTTGTAGAGGAGAGCTGGTTGATGGATGTGTGTTTCCTACAACAATACAAATAACACATCATACAAATCCTGTTAACAGACTTACCAAGTGCTTTAGTGGTTGGATTGAAGGCTACACAGGAGACTGCATTTTTGTGGCCTTTAAAATAACGGATCAATATAGGATCCTCCTAGTAGAAAAGAAGAAGCTTGATCATTGTTTCTACATTTTATCTTAAACACTCACATGTTCTAATACAGTAGATTCCTGCAATTGACAAATAATAAACCTTTCAAAGTCTAAGGTCTCACAAGCTCCTTTGCTATAGTTTGATGTGAAAATTATTAATCTATGAGGGGCCTCACAACTTTTTATCTACCAGAGTTACAGCTTGATATGAAGCTACTTTGATGTAGATTCTCTCTTATAACAGGTCTAAGCCTTTGTTTAGAAGCTCAGTCCTTTGAGAATCATACAACTGGCTGCTCTGACAACCATTTCAAAGCTAGGAAGGTTTATGCAGAGATGTGTCCAGAGTTTTCAGCAGACTGACAGGTGAAACAGCTTAGAACTGGGATAAAACTGGTGCTTTTATTTTTTTCTGAGTACTGTAACTGTTTGTATATTTTAAATATACTGTAAAGCACCTCAAGGACTTAAAGTAGAGTGTAGACATTTATATCCTGGGCTATCCAACATGTGGCAAAAGTATCACAAGTGTTATGTATAGATACACCTAGAGGGTCAGATAACTTGGAAGGTCTCTACTCCTACCTGCCTTACCAGTGCTATGCTTCTGTCCAATTCCCAGTTCAATGCTTTGGAGGCAAGACCATCTCAAGGAACCAAAAGGAGGGGAAACTGCATTTGTAGTAGTGAGGATTAGAGCAGCATGTTTTCATACATGGAATCTGACTGTTGGGGGAAAAAAAACTAGCAACCAGTGACTCGAAATAGTGAAAGACTATCGTCATACAACCAGTCCTTTTCATCTCCTCCGTGTAAAAAGCCTTCCCTGGTAGAGACCTGAATCATTTGTCAAGACCACAAACAATAGGTGAATGACTTGTTTTGATGAACAAGTTTTATGATATAAAAAGTGGAACATGGGCAGACGAAAAACAGCCACATGAAGAGAAGCTGAGTGGACTACCTCTTTATTTCAAAATTGACATGCTAAAGGCTGCAGAACTACAGTCATTTTGCTGAGGATATTACAGGACATTACTTCTGAGTAGGCAAGCACAGAATTACACAGTAAACGATGCCACGAAGAGCAGCCAAAATGCCCAGTTGACAAGTTTCTCTGACAATGTCATGCAACTCACTTGCTAGGTTCACCTGAAAGCCACTACTGAAATGCTGAAAGTAAATAAATGGGGAAGGGGAAGGGGGAAAAAAAAAACGCCGGGGCTCAACGCTGTTGCCACAAACAATAGTGACGGAAGGATATAAACTGGGATCTGGGGGTATCCAGCCCAGCTTCACCGGGTGAACCCTTCCGGTACATATTCCACTTCAAGGCTGCTAGGAAGCACACAGCATGTTCAAGAAGACTGTTTCAGAGGAAACGATTTGGTGAACCCCAAAGCTTGCTCGCATCTATGCACCACATGGTCCGTGACGACCATAACGAGAATACTGCCGGGCCTCCCCCGCCGTGACGGTCTCGCCCTGCCTCCTACCAGAGCCGACGCCATCGAGATGCCCGGCAACGAAAGCGGGTTCGCGATGTGTTCACGCCCGGCGGCTTCCACGGCCCGGTCAAAATGCCCGCGCCCCAGACCAGACCAGTCGAGTCCTAAGCTGGCCTTTCGCGCTTGGTACGCAAGAACACACGCCACCGTCCATCGAATGACGGCAGGCCCTGTAGCCGCCTCTCAAAAAGAGGCGACGCTCATGTCGGAGAAGACCGAGAGGCAGAGGGCGCCCCATCGCCTTCTCACCGCCAAGCTCGGGGGGGGGGGCATCCGTGACATAGGCATTCGATTCACTCGCTCGCCCTCGAGCCGGAAGCTGGTGCAGTTGCCTAGCGACGGCGGGCGTCGCGTCTGCTTTGGCCCAGGTTTGGGAAAGAGCCGCGCAAAAAGGGGGCGGAGCTTTCGCAAGATAGGGAACCTCGGCTTTTTCTTTTTTCAGAAGACTAATATTGACCTCCCCACCTCTCCCTCTCTCTGGGGCATTAAATGCCAAATTCAGACCTTCAGATAGGCAGAGAGAGGCATGGCGGATGATGTGGAGTTATGACGGAAAGGCAACACAGTGTTAGTAATTTAGTTTATAAGTGATATGCTTTTACCAGAGTTTGGAAGACTTATTGCTGGACTGCCACAGAACTACAGCCATGGTGGCGGGGGCTATTCTGGGAGCTGGCATCTATATAGCAATTTTCCTAAGATCCAATTTACCTTGATTTACAAAAGCCTCGGTTTTTGTAATTTTTGGTTTATGAACCAAAATCCATAGAAAATAATGCCCCGGTTTGTTTGTTGTTGTTTTTTTCCTTTCCTTTTTCCCCCGCTGTACGAAAGGGTTTCCCCAGGACTCATTGCGCCTGGAAGTTTCTAGCGCCGCCCCCGTTCCTAGCTCAATCCGTGTATCGGTTTATGAAATTTCTGCATTATGTAACATCCCAGAGGATGCATTAATTTCGTAAACCAAGTTATGCCTGTATAATAAACAACTATTGTTACTAATAGCCATTAATAGACTTAATCTCCATAATTGTATCCAGTCTCCATTTAAAGTATCACCATTTATCACACCTTGTGGGAGTGAGTTTCGCATGCCCTGTGTAAAAACATAAAATAAAAAAATAATTTTATTTGTTCTGGCTCTCCCACCAGGCTAACAGCCCCAAACTCTGATTTTTCCTCCATGGAGAACTGATTCAGTCCACTGATCATTTTAGTTGCCCCTTTCTGCACCTCTTCCAGCTGTACAATATTTTTTCCAAGAGCTGGAACAAGGGCCTTACATAAATTCTAAAGATGCAAGACTGTCCTTCAGTGGGAGCATGACTATCTTGCTTCTTTTTAAAATAATTCACATTATCATCTGGGAGGCTTGAGATAAGACAATCAAGACTAGAATCTAAAATTACCTCTTTACTGGAATTCCCTTCTCTAGACTTGTCTGTACCACAGAATAAGGAGCTGTGGCAGGAAAATGAAAATAAAAGATTACAGTTTTCTCTGTTATTGGGCATGCTGTAATAAAGACTTGTGCAGAGTACACGAAAATGCACACTCCTATTTTAAAAGCTTGCTTTTGATTTGTAGGAAATAAGAATGTAGGAACCAGATATACATAGTTAGAAGAGGGGCAAATGTAATTTTAGCAAAGCATGTAAGAAAAGGCTGTATTCCATACACATGTATTTAGGGAGACAAAAGGCTAAGCAGTTTAGCAAAAAAATCACATTTGTACACACAAAGGTATAAGTTGTTGGACAACAGAAGTCAATATATTACAAGGCCTTTTTTCAATAATAGCTTCTCCCATCCCACTGTAAGTACAAATTCACTTGCAAAGCTGGAACATTACAACTGTTTTCTTAATGTGTAGTTAGTTCAATAAACTGCTCAATATTTCACAGATTATATATCTAAGATTATGAAACATGCCAAAACTACTACTGCTATTAAGCTTTATTTATACCAAACATGTCATTGATCCTTCTACAGGAGAATAGGGAATATGCATTGTTTTCCCCCCATATTGTTCCCCTCCAGTTAGCATTTTACAGGAAAACTTCCGATGGGGCTAGACCACTCCACCTACTTTGTTGGGAGCAAAGACAGTACTGTATAGAGTGATCTCAGGCTTTGGCATATAACCTTTCCACATGTAAAAAGCTTTCAAATGTACTGATTCTCCTTAAGAATTAAAAAATTCACATCCCAATCCACTAAAAATGTTCATATACTGATTTCCAGATTGCACCCCTGAATATGAAATATGGAGTGAAAACAGGGAAGAATGAAGTAACTTCCAGTTTTCATTACACTGATTTAAATACTTTGTTACAATATTGAACATCATTTCAGCTACCCCATACTAAAAAAGCAAAGACCTGTCTTGGACCATGGAAACAAAACAATCAAAAATCCATAAAGATGGCAGGACCTTTATTAGGACCAACTGAAATTTCACAAGAGTTTCCAATTGTTCATCAGATTAGGGAGTGAAAAAAATGGTCTGTGCAAAGAGCATAAAGTATTATAGACATGAGATCAATAGTTAAAACTCCAAAATGCAGATAGCATCATCACTGGCAGAAGACTGCCAGCCTTGTGTTTTAGGACATGGAGACTCACAATTTCCTCTTCATGCCAGCAAGCCCTGTGAAGCATTTTCTGATACAGGCACACCTACTTACATCTTACTAAGTTATGAATAAAGTAACTTCCTGCATCTTTTTGCAACTTTCTCTGACTACTCATGCTTCCATTTCTCTCTTTTTTCTAGTTTTCTTATGTCAGTTTTTTGAGAACAGGGACCTGTCATGTCTTTTCTGAATAAAATACTCTGTACAGTGATGATGCTATACATATAAGTTTGTTGTAAATATTAAAGCCAAAAGCCATGAAAAGCAAGTTACCATGATGCTTCTATTCAAAGATCAAACATACACAAGGCAAACATAGTAGCTATTTGAAGTGGGACTGAAACTGGCAATAACACAGTCTTTCTACATTTCTTTGCAAAGTTATTTTGTTGGGAACATTCACTTCTGGATGAGCAGCAAAATATTGAGAGATTAAAATATTGTTGCAGTAAATTTTCAAGGGGTCACACACTGATGATCTGCATAGTTTCAAAATTACCCTTTCCCAGGGAGTGAAAGACAGGGTCTTATATTAATTTTTGCTCCAAAAATGCATTACGGCTTATTTTCAGGGGATTTTATTTTTTTCATGTACAATTTACATTTATTCAAATACAGTGGTGCCTCGCTTAGAGATGTTAATCGGTGCGGCAAAAATCGCTGCTAAGCAATTTCATCGCTAAGTGATTTTAAAAAGCCCATAGAAACACATTAAAACATGTTTAACACATTCCTATGGGCTTAAAAACTAACCTTATGCGAAAATCCTCCATTGCGGTGGCCATTTTCAGTGCCTCTAAAGCGAGGCAAAACAGCGGGCGGCCATTTTGTTTACCCGGTGGCCATTTTGGAACCGCCAATCAGCTGGCCGAAAATGGGGGCTTTGCAATGATCGCTTCCCTGCGATCATCACAAAGCGAAATTTCCCCATAGGGGCCATTGCAAAGTGATCACTCTTGCGATGGCAAAAAGTCCATCGCAAAGCGATTTCATCGCTATACAAAGTGATCACGATGCGAGGCACCACTATACAGTCATGTCGTCTTCTGGTTCCTGCACAATAGTGGAGGGCGGGGTTTCACTTAACTAGGGCTTATTTTTGGGGTAGGGCTTATATTATGAGCATCCTGAAAAATCCTACTAGGGCTTATTTTCAGGTTAGATATTATTTTCGGGGAAATAGGATAACTGGAATTCAGTTTTGACTTTAAGGCTTTAGAACTGGCAATTATCTTGGTGATTAGAATTCAAGGGCAGAGATATACATTTTTCAGAAATTTTTAAGTCATGGAAGAACATTAGGGTTTGGGGTTCCTTTGGCCAGGAAGGAAATGAAAGTTTGGAGATTAGTTGGCATATTTTTGCAAATTAAAAATATGGAAGTCTTAATTTTGTGCAAGCAAAATAAGAACATATCAGAGGGAGACCTTCAAACAAATGTAATAAACTAAGTAAATAAGGCTCTCTCTTTTTGGACAGAAATACTTTTATTTCTGTAACTAATTCTACCATTCTAGATCAGCAACAGGCAGGCAGCAGCACTCCACCAACAGTGAAGGCTTCCTTCTATGCTCCTCTTATGACAATGATAGGCTCAGAAATGCATCTTGGATTTCTACTGCTATTTTTCAGAACCCCATCTGTAATTCTCATAATGTTTTAGCTTTAGTACATTCAGGATTTGAATGTGTTCTGAATTTTAAAAAGTAGGTAATTTTATTTTAGTTTTCATATGCAAATGTTTTAAAAAACCTTACTCCCTCCCCCCATTTTTTCTGTGTTTAGAGAATAAATTTGACTATGCAGTCTCACTTATACTTTCCCATATTTGTTCATGCACTGGATGTTTATCAGTTCACATCACTTCAAACATCAGCTATTGTACTATCAAAAGTCCAAAGATGGTTAGCTGTGTACACAGGCATGAAATGAAAACCATATTTTATATATTTGTTTCACACTTTTCAAAAAAGGTTCCATTTGTGCTTAAGAGACAAAGTCAGTTTCAGACAAGGTCAATTATGTTCAAAATGCCCTGTCTTATATCAGAGAAAATCTAATTGTTGAATAGCTGCACAGTACTACTGATCACTGAAAAGCAGAGACACCCCTAAGTGTAGACCTGGCACACACACTAAAGACGGTTATTTATTTAGTTTGTATTGCTTTTCAGTTCTCAGAAGTGGCTCACAATGTAAGGAAAATGCAATGAATCAACTGAAAGCAACATACAAACTCTAAACAAGTCTAGTTGTAGAAAGAGCTTAGTGGTTCTTCACCTATCCCACCACTTGCATTTGGTGCTAATACAGTTGCATTAATATCACAAAAATCATATCACTTTTCGTAAGTACAGTGGTGCCTCACTAGACAGTTACCCCGTATGATAGTTTTTTTGCTAGATATTGGCTTTCTGTGATCGCTATACTGATTTGCAAAACAGTGATTCCTATGGGGGAATTTCGCTGGACAATGTTTGGTCCCTGCTTCGCAAACTGATTTTTGCTAGACGACGATTCTGACAGCTCCCTCCGCGCTCGCAAAGCAGGTGTTTTCAGGACCTAAGCTTCTCAAGACAGCGATTTAAACAGCTGAGTGGCTGTTCTATGGCCGATCTTCG